TCTACGCCCAACGCGTTAGCGCGTTATCGCGAACTTTCGATACCAATAAAATTTTACACGTATACGTGTTAACACGTGCTAAACAATATGGACAATCATATGCTATCAGTAGGGTAAATACAAGTTTTACTTGAATTCGGTCTATCATGATATAAAAATGGAAATAAGATATACTAATGCTTTAAAAGGAATATCTATATACATAAAAAAAAGAAAGAAAATCGATTTCTCTATGTCACAAATTTTAAAATTTGTGACATACTCCGCCTCCTGTATTTGGACCCCTTATGTCTCCAAGTTTTGCTAAATTAGGTATCAAGGTCAACCCGATTTTGTATCTTTAAGTTCCGAGGAGTCCCAATTAATACTGATATATATGATATTTCTTTAAGTGAAATAGGACGAACATTTCCTCCGGGATCAAAGATTTGGGCGCATGAAATGCATGACCAGCACGTGGATAGGTATCGTGACCACTGGTTTGTTGCTTTCTTCATTATTGTTTCTTCATTTTTTAATATCTCTGCATTCTTTGATTCAATTTCTAGCGCCTTATTTAAATTGGCAAGTGGTTCGTTGAAACTTTCGCGGGGAAGGTACATTTCACTTTTTTTAATTATTTCCTTATCTCTGTTTCTGTCATTGTTGATATTTAGTATTTCCTTATCACTAACAGGTTCCTCCATTTTATATTTTATTCTTTTATTCATTTCATCAAAAATCGTCTCCCTATCATCGTCTTTTCCACTATCATCCACTTTCATATAGACGTTACTATCAGGCTCACGATTCTTGGAAATCTCAAGGTTACTTATTTGACTTAACCCGATATCCTTCGAATACTCCTTATCCATACTTATTCGTTTAACCTTTTCACTTTCACGTTCATCTCTATGCATATTATCACTTACTTCAACGGGGTCATCACTCTCGGTAGACTTTTGATACCAAGCGAACATTCTATCATTTTTTCTAAATTCTTCTTGGCGGGACCAACCATGGTCTTGCGTTTCATCAGCAAGATCCGTCTCAGCCAATTTTTGATAATGAACGGGTGCTTTGTTGTTATCATTTTCGATTTCACTACTAATTTCATAGTATCCAACAACCGGCATCCTATCTCGTATTTCGTCAGGTTTTTGATAATAATTGAATGCGTCACGTTCATACTTATTAATTTCTATTTCGGCTTCGATATCTAATTCATCCTCATTGCCATCTTCGAAGTCTCTCAGATAATCAAGGTAAATATCATATTCGCCACTTTCTTCTTCTTCAGCTTTCTTAACACCAATTCCTTCTTCATAACCCGTATTAGCCGATTCTATTTTGATAACAGTGACCAACATTATTCGTTCGATTAGCAGTCTTCATGTCTGCTGATTTTTGATAAACGAAGGCTTCGTATTCGTCCTTTTCAGCTTCTACTCCGTTTTGATGACAATAGTCAGGTTCGTTTGTTCCCTCAACATGATCGGAGTGACTTTCTTTTTTTTTAATTTTGGACGGGCAGGTATTTTTAGGTTCGGGTAACCAGGTATCCAATACTTCAAGATAGCCGTCAATTAAGTCCTCCAAATCTACTTCTGGGTCGTCTTCGGGAACGTCATACGATTCAAGAGCGTTGGTTGCGGTTAGTAGGCTTGACTTTTCTAGACGAACTTTTCTGCAGGACGCCTTGATATACGGAGGTGGTCGTGTTGTTTCTTTTATCTCTAACTTCTCTACAGTTATTATGTTTTCTAACACTTTTAATGCAAACTCCAAGATCTTGGGGGTTTGCTTATCATCGGTAATTACAATAAAACTTTCATTTATTATTTCTTGGAACTCGTCAAGCTGTTTTAAGGTAAGTGTTTTAAGAAGTGCATTGCACTTTTGACCTAAACGTTTTACGTCCGGACATTCATGAACGGAGTGGCCTTTTATTTGACATCGGGGACATTGTTTCTTGGGAGTAGGTTGTGAATATACTCTTGTAGTGGGCTCATCAACGTAGCTATTGTACTGCCGAAAAACTTGAGAATGTCGTTGCTGTAGATGCTGAGGACGGACAATAGGAGTTGGACAGGGGTTTTCCCAGTATCTTGGGGGTTCGATATGGGGTGTTTTGCGTTAGAGGTTGGTGTGATATTGCTTGACTTTGAGTGAGTGTGGTTTGTAGTTGTTGAATTAATGGAGCGAGTTGATTAATAAGGTTGGATAACGGGGTAGATTGATTGAGGTTGGCCATTATAAAACTATGGGTACATCACGGAACAAGTGTGAGACACATACGAGAACTTTACACTATATACTTTAACTGAATTACTAATAATGCGGGATAATAACGGAAAACTAAGGGATAACTACGGGATCTTTAACAATATATTTTACTTTAATCAAAAGGTTTTTATACAACAATGGGATCACTACGGGATAATGTTTAATCCACACAATCGGCACCAAATGTAACTATTAATTCGGGAGAGAACTAAAACTTAACCGATTTACACTCTAATAGTTACTGGGAGATAGGCTCGGATTTACTTTAATAAAGGTCTCTTCAGCACTACACTAGCTTACTTCCTTTATTTATCTTAAGTAAAGTCGAAGGGAATCTCTCTTTCTTTTATAAGATAAATTCGGAGGAAATCTTCTCTCTCTTTTTTATTAAAGGTCAAAAGATAGCGTTTATATACATTTTAGTTACCATCGTGTTACCTAGCACTCTAACGTGCTATATTAGCACGCTGGCGTGCTAATAGTTCATAAATTTCTACGCCCAACGCGTTAGCGCGTTATCGCGAACTTTCGATACCAATAAAATTTTACACGTATACGTGTTAACACGTTAACGTGCTAAATAATTTATACAAAAATGGACAATCATATGCTATCAGTAGGGTAAATACAAGTTTTACTTGAGTTCGGTCTATCATGATATAAAAATGGAAATAAGATATACTAATGCTTTAAAAGGAATATCTATATACATAAAAAAAAGAAAGAAAATCGATTTCTCTATGTCACAAATTTTAAAATTTGTGACAATATCTATGATCAAAGGAAAGGATGGCCTTATATTTAGATGGTAAGTTTCATACAATAAGTTGTAAGTAATGATTTGACAAATATTTAAAATCGAAATCGCTAACATATTGCGTCGAAATTATTTCAATTAAGATATTTATAGAAGTTTATCTTAAATAATCTATTTGTTTGCCTGACTTTATTATTTAAAAATAGTTTATGAAGTCGCACAATGATCTTTGAACTATAAGAAAATTATTTAAAATGGCCTACAGTATCCTAATATTAGCACAAATGTGTTAGTAAGGGGTAAGTTTTATTGGTATCGAAAGTTCGCGATAGCACGACAATGTGTTGGGCTTAAAGGATTTATTAATTTTAGCACGTCAAAGTGCTAGACAGCACATTAAAGTGCTAAGTATCACATTAACGTGTAGGATAGTAACTAAAATGTATATAAGCGCAATCTTTTGAATTTTAATAAAGGAGAGAGAGAAGAGTTCCCCGAATTTGTCTTATAATAGAAAAAAGAGTAGATTTCCTCCGAATCAACCTTTAATAAAGAAAGAGATTACCTTCGATTTTACTTAAGGATAATAAAGGAAGTAAGCTAGTGTAGTGCTGAAGAGACCTTTATTCAAGTAAATCAAAGCCTATCTCCCAGTAACTATTAGAGTATAAATCAGTTTAGTTTTAGTTCTCTCCCGAATTAATAGTTACAGCAGCTTTTTCAGTAATTGATAGTATTATTATTAGAAGAGAAATATTATAAAATAGCATTACTTATGTATATTATTTAGTTATAGATTCTAATTATTGTATTAGTTTATTTTTTTATATTATCATTAAAAGAAAATATATTTTAATTACAATACTTCGCAAATTTGTAATACTATATAATATGTAATAAATTGTATTTTTAATTATCTTCGCAAATCTGTTAATACTATATAATATGTAATAAATTGTATTTTTAATTATCTTCGCAAATCTGATTTAAAAAATTTGTTATAATCTGCATTTTTACACTCCTGAAATAAAAAATATGTTAAATATTTGCACTAATCTATATACATAATTTTTGTGCTAATTTAAATATTTTTAAAGTTTTGTGCTAATTTTAAACTTTTTTTCTTTAAAGATCGCTGCCAGGTTTGAAGTTTTGCACAGATCTGCTTATATTTAATTGATTTACAAATCTGTGCAGATGTGAAGTAAAAAAATTTCCCTGATGATATAGATATAAATTCTAATTTATATTTATAAGTATATATTTTTATAAAGTTTAAAATTATATACTATAACTAAATTTTAACAAGTTTTATTGTGCATGTTTTATGTGTACACCTGAACTTTTTCATATATATTATTGATTATTTTTAAATTATTCGATATACAAATTTTGAATACTTATATATACTTGATACACAAATTTTAAACACTTTATATGTATACAATATTCATATTTCAATTACATTGTATATGAAAATATGGTAAGCAAATTTTAGTTTAACTTTAGCAAATTTGAACAGTTACATAAAAATCAAATAAAACTATAAAAGTTTTAAGTTGATGTTCAAATTGTAAGTCTGTGATAAAGTACTTTTAGAAAGTTTAATAATAATATTATTACTGATGTCAAAGAGGCTTCTTTTATTCTTGTGATTTTTGTGATATAAATTGAAAAGTAGAGAATTAGGTTTAACAGGTGGTTTGAAAGAAGCCATTATTGATATATTTTTGTCACAAGCTTTTGGCTTAGAAGATCATGATTTTAAAAAATTCGCTATTAATTAAAAAAAAATTTTTAAATTATTTTAATTAGAAATATACATAATTAATAATGCATATCTTTTTGATTGTTTTTAACTACTTTTGGTTTCTTTTTAGCTAATTTCAGATCTTTAGATACTTTTGGGTTTACTTCTGTTACTTTTGGGGTTTTTATTACTTTTGGAATTATGGTTACAACTTTTAAATATTAAAAAAAATTTTAATTAGAATAAGATTATCTTAACAAAGCAAATTTATAATTTATTATGCATATCTTTCTAATGCTTTTTAATAATGATTGAGCCTTTCAAAATACAAATATAAAAAAAAAATTTAATTAAAATCAAATTTTTAAATTGTGCAGTAATTTGATTGTATATGCTTTCTTGATAATCCTCAATTTTAGCTAAGCTATTAAACATAAATATATAAAAAAAATTTAATTAAAATAAAGTTTTTAAAATAAAAAGAAAAATAATTTAACTGTATATATCTTTCTAACAATCTTTGATTACAGTTGAACTTTGTCAAAATATATATAAAAAAAATTTTTTTTTAATATAAATAAAATTTTTTAAATTGTTTAAATTAGCAAAAATAGAATTAATGCATATTTTTATAATTATCATATGCATCATACTTATCTAAATTTGATTCATATAATAAAAATGGAATTAGTATTGCAGTATTACTAATTTGCTAATTTTTACTAAGCTGACAATAATCAGCTAAACTTTCACAAAAATGATAGTTAGAAAAAGCCTAAAGATCAGATTCAGAAAGTCTATTATTTTTTAAAAGAAGAATTGCTATATGATGGCAAGAATTATTTGTAATATATCATCTATTACTAAAATTAATCACAGTATTTTTAACAATATTATATATCATTTTTTTAAATTTTAAATTTTCTATAGAACTGGTTTTGTACCAGTTACTTTTTTGCAGATCTTTCTTACTCTTACAAGTTTTATAAAATAATGAATCTTGTAATACAGCTAATTCAGGTAATTTGAACAAATACAATAGAATATCTTTTGCAGGTGTATAATAGTTGTTTAATAAATTCAAAAAAATAGAAATATGTTATGAACCTATTTTACTATGTTTATTTCTGTAAAATATACCATCTTGGTTATTTTTTTTTGTGCAATGGAAGCTCCAAACCACTGTCTTAGTAATGTTTAAGATTATTTCGGCAAATTTGATACGCATCTCTACCCAAAGATCATACAAAAAATATAATCAGAAAAATACTTGATAAATAAGAGATTTTTATTATTAGTATTCATATATGGATAATCAAGTATTTGTTTAATTTTACTAGCTGATAATTCATCTGATTTTTTTTAGATCACCTAAACTTTTGGCTTGTAAAGTTCTTATTTTGCTATTGAGAATACATAGTACACATAGAAATTTATATCGATTCCAGACTTTAATTTGCTAAAGAATACTGTGCTCTTTATAATAATGATTAATTGTGCTATAACAATTATAGACTAACTTAACTTTGTAATCAGTGCTATCTTCTTTTTTAGCCAAGTAAAAATTTGCAAAGATAATCCTCTAACTATTTTACAGAATTGATTAGTTCAATAGACTAAATGATACTGCAACTTTTATTAAATCTATCCATAACTTGAAGTCACTGAGAGGTATTTCATTCAGTACTTGAAACAAGAGATGCTTGTTACAATTTATTAATTTCTTCTTGTATTGATAATTGTGAAGCTTTTATAAAACTTATTTTTTTTTAAAAAAAAAAGAAAGAGGAAAAAAGATAAGCAAAAGTAAAAGAAAATTGTATTGTGATTAAAAAATAATCAATTCTATATATGAAAAACAATGGTGCTTA